AAACTAGCGGCAAATACCACGCTTCGGTGACTTCATCGTTTAGCAAAACAAAAGGTTTCTTTTGTTTTTCGCTCAACAAAAGATCTCCAAAAGATACCCCTGGAAAACTGAGTTTTTTTGCATACGTTATTTCTCGAAAATGAAGCGCAAATCAACAAAAACAATTACGCAATGATGCTTTTCATGTCAAAACAAGTCAGTCTGCCAAAAATTAGCTCGATCCTGCAAAAAATAAAAATCGGCTCAAAATGCTATATACGCCCTTTTCAGGCCTGAAAGCCTTCAATTATTAGTTAGTTTCGCTAGGCAGACTTACATACATACATACTTTATTGTTACCTCCCCAATGGGACTTCGATAGAACCCCACTCTTCTTTACTATTAAACTGTACTGAAGGAATTTTTACCGAGTGTAAATGAAGTTATCAAGCCGGCCTATCACCCATGCTCCGTTATATGGGCTACATAGGTATGTGCGGCCCAAAGGCGTATAGTTTTTGAGCAGTTTTGGTCTGAAAAGGGGCATACATTTGACCGACTTGGACTGACATAGGGAATGTTTTTCACTCTGGTTTGGTATTAGGTATTTTGTTGGCAAGAAAATATTTTTTTCCGCATCAACATTGACAATTTTGTAGCCGTCTTAAATCTCGGTGCTGAATGTCACTTCTTACCGGAGTGTCAAATGGAAAATGTTGTAAGTTGATCACTCTTTGTTCCTCTTTGCTTTGTATACATTTTATTTCAATTAGCTAGGAGTGTCGCAAATTCAATTCTGACTGGTTCTTTTCATTTAACAATTAGACTATGAGCTCAAGAATTCTATCACGTGATAGCAGTCAGCTATCACTTATAGAAATCGAGAGCGCATAATCTAATTGTTTTAGTATAAATCTATTACAAGTCATCCTCAACTTTACCTAAATCCTCTTCACAAACTCTTGGAAAAAGCAAAGAAGCAGTGACCGCTATTTTGCTAACAACCCCACACGACCAGATATAGGCAGTGAGAAACGTAGCCACCGGGGGGGGGG